CGTGGACCAAGTTAGTTATAGACACACCCTGGCGGCTATTGGGGAATGAGCTTCTTGCTGCCAGTATGTTTCGATGGTTTTCCACAGTCGGCCGCGGATTCGGAAAGCAGAACCGGATTCAGAAACTCAAAACCAAGATGGAAACCGAGAAGCATGGACTCGGAAACAAGGACTCAGCTTCGGAATCTCAATAATTTGATGTGGAAAGTACAAATGACAGACTCGGAAACTGATATGCGCGGATTCGGAAAGTGAATGTTCGGAAACCACATGCTCGGCTTCGTGAACTACACGCGCGAAGTCAGAAACTCAAGATGTCCCTGGGGCCAAGCCTCTCCATCTCATGGTGTGATAAGAGGGTGGCCCGATGTGGGCTCTAGCAAGACCATTCTATGGCATGATTTTAAGGTTGGTTTTGACCAAGTGTTCATGCTTATGCAGTTTGGCACGACGAGACAGGCGGGCTTTCACGCATTGTGCGTATACTCATGCCATGATTGCCTCAGCACTTATGGCATGCCAAGACAGGTGGGTTCTGACAAAATGCTCATATGCTCATGCCTCTGCGGTTTATGGCCTGATGAGATGGGTGGGTTTTCACAAAATGCTCTGGCATGGCGAGAGTGGCGGGCCTTTCTCAGTGTGCTTCAAATAGGCCAGGCTTTCGCTGTACAGCTTCCTTACTACATATGTTTCAAAGCAATTTACGAGTTCTCTCAGGCACCTGGGTTTCTGGGCTTCTAAACATAACTTCTTTATCAGGTGGACTTCAAATTGAAATGGGAATTCTTTCTGGGTTTGACTTTGTGGATATAAACCCCCCTAGTTAAAGATGCTTGAGATTAATGGGAAATTCTCAGATCCTGGATTCTTGACTTTCTCCACGTAAACCCTTACTACACGTGCTTCAAAACTTAACGGTAATTCTCAGATCCTGGATTCGGATTTGAAAAAAATCCTTGACTGACATATGCCTACATCTTAAATGGGAATTCTGCTTTGTTGCGCTTGATTCCTGTATGTAACTCCTTTAGTCAAGAAGTTTCTAATCCAAATGGGAGATTCTCAGATCCTAGGTTCCTGAGTTTCTCTGTAGGATGCTTGTGTATTCGAGTTCCTTGGCTAAAACAGAAACAATATCGAAATCTCGGATTCTTGGATTCCGAGTGATGCATGAGCTCCTATTAAGACTTCAGGACCTGGAAGGTTTCTTTTGGTGCCTCCTAAGGTTTTGGTCAGTATGTTAATTGAAAACCCTGCAACCGCCTGTGTAGCACCCAATGCTTTCCATGATTTCAAGGCATTCGCTGGAGTAGTCGGAAAAATCAAATACATAATGAAAAACATTGGCTTCCACATCTTTCACAAAAATCATACAAACCTGAAAGGCATTTACAGGGGTGTACCATGCTTGCAACATGTGCTTACATGTACGTATATGCTTCTAAACTGATTTTTTTCCTTTCTGAACAGGATCTGGTCTTCCCGAAGCTTTGGCTCTTAGACAGCCGTGCCTGAAAGAATGCAAGCAAATTATGACAATAACAACAGCAACGATGATGATGATGATGATGATCGTGAAGATTATCATGATGATGATGAAGTTGGTGAGCATCAAAAGCTGAGTGTGATGGAGCCTCGCTCAGAGCTGAGCAGCATGCTGCAGGGTTCATGGCATCGAGACCGTTTGAGCTTGTTCCATGCCTTGAAGTAGCAGTTTATCAGTTCGTCCGAGGTTCTCCTTTACTGTAATGCCCAAAGCTTCTGAACATGAGTAGCCACTTGTTTCAGCCCCTGTCCATTCCTTAACTCCAAGTACTAGACATGACAGGATCCTTGCTTTCCTACTCACCAGGCTACTCATGCCATCCATGCTGCCTGCCACCACTTGCTGCGGCAACAGAGCGCCATCCTGCGGAAGCCAGGGATGTGAGAGTTTGTCAACACGCCGACATCCGAGGCAGAGCTGGGCTCCTGCCCCTGCGCAGCGTGCGCAGCAAGTAGCACGGGCTGGGCTCCACGCACCGGTCTGAAGCCCTGAAAGCCTGGGAACGCTGGCCACTGCGTGTGTAGATACTAATGCCGTCACAACAACGGGATGCTCAGAGAGGAAAGATTACTTCCAAGCAACGCTGGCGATGGTCGGCGCATAGCACCAGCCTTGCTTGCTTCATCTTCTTGGAGCACTCAGATGGCACATGATGGCAGTCTATACTGCTGAGGCGGGCAGCCAATACTCACTTGCAATAAGCAAGTCCAGCAGGTTCACTTTTCCACTCCATGTAGCTGCGGTGGATGGCCTTGCAGGCTGGTATGGACTCATCTCAGACGGGTGGAGGTTGCATACTGCAGCAGAGCGTCCGTAAAGCTTCTCCCCATGTGAAGACAGTGCCTTCAGCACCAACTTCGGGATGCAAATACGTGCAATCTAGACTTGGAAGCCTACATGCCCAGCTAGCGCAACCATAAGTGTTCCACGAAAGCAATGCCTCATAGCTGGCAAGCTCAAGCTAAATTTGGAGGCAAAGCTGCGTAAGGAGCCGCAGCGTGCCATGGAGAGTGCATCCAAAAGCGATGGCCTCAGAAACGTTGGCACATGCATGGGTGCGGCAGAAGCAAAATGTAATGAAACCGGGGAGCACAAGCCCAGCCACTGTGATGTGACGCTCGTGAATGGCGCGCTCGACCTCGCACGGACTTGAAAGCATGGCTTGCGACGTTCGACCAGACTGAATCCTGAATTTCAGCCTCCGGTAGGCCATGACGCGTGACCAGCACCTCCGACTCTCTCATAGCGAGAAGGTTTAATGGAGCAGCACGTGGTCTGATCGAAAAATGTCAAATCCAAGGAGCCATGCACGCGCCGCAAGACCAAGGCAAGTCAAACAAACCCAAACCTCGGGCTTCACACATCTCACACATCTTCACGCGATGTGCATTGTGGTCTTTGTTACTTCCGTTTTAGTTCGACGTCTCTGTTCACTTCTAGACTTCTGAATTTTGACCGGACAGCTCTGGGGGTTCGACAGGTTGCTCCCCAGAAGGCTGACGTGTGATGTAATATGCGGTCCTGCAGTCGGGGCAGCAACTGAAGATGACTACCCCCCTGAGCCCGGCTCCTCACATGTCATCACATCAAAGTCTGGGTACGTCATGAGCTCGTGCAGTGCCATTCCTGGAAATGGGCAATGCTCTGACTTGCAACTTGCTTCGCGCCACTGACGCCGCAAAAGCTCGGTTGCCACTTGCAGCAAAACAATCCACAATGAAAGCAGACATGGTGAGCTTGACTAGAACAAGCTGGACAACTGTTCATCCGCCTTGGGCATTGGGACACAGTCTCTACGACTCCCTTTCGGAATGACCCAGTGGCACAGAGGGAATGACTTGGTTTAAGCTCACAGAATGCCTGACCGTCGGCCTTCATTTGGGGGTTGTCCAAAATTCCTTTTCCCAAAAGCACCCCTTTCGAAGAGCTTTCGCGGGCTTTCGCCCGCAGCA